AAGTTACTATTTTTAGACATTTTAAGGTTTTTTTTAGACTATTTTTAATTTTTAAAAAGTAATGCTTTTTGATAACACTCAAATGAGATTTAAAGTCATTTAAAGCAATAAAAATAATTTAAATTGAGAAGTGGAAATCATGATCCCATTTGGAAAATGTGATAAGAGTAGATAGTAAGTCTCACTGAGACAGTATGAAACTACTATCTAATGTTAAAACTGTGTAATGAGATCAGTCGCATTGATAATGAGACTATTCAAAAATCTGGTCCTGATCTCAGACACGGTCACACGGTCAGTCTATATATATTGAAAGAATCAGAGAAACAGATCTTATACAACTTAATAAATGATTCATAACTTGTGAAAGTAAAGATACAAGATCTGATTGAATTATAATCATCTGCATCACTATTATCAGTATTGAAAAAGAAGAGACTTACAATTGAAAAGCCTCACAAGGTAAGAGAAATCATAGATGCTTATGAATCAGATAATCTCATTTATTCTGACCTTTTCATAATTACAAGAAAAGAATGGGAAGTAATTAAGAAATCAGATGAATATCACACTTTAATAAGTGATGAGACTGTAGCTGATTGTATAATAATACACTGCAGATAGCAGATGTAACACAGTAAAGAGCAGTCTCAAAGTGACAGACTTGCACATGAGTCAGATTACAGAAGAAAAGGAAATTCAGAGTTGAATTCAACTGTTTACATCAGTTTAATTGCAGAGATCACAGAGAACAAACTATCTGAAACATTTATAAACATGTGAGATCAAGTTATCTCAATCTCTGAGAATACTCAGACGTCAGATGAGGTTAATTTTGATGAACTATTTACTATACTGATCTGAGTAAATGAAGAGAGATAGTATAATATATGAGATAGAATTATAAAAGATGAAAGCTACTGAACCTAGTCACTGAATGCTGTATTATATAGAGATTGTGTAAGAGTAGTGACTAGCAGATAAAGAAAAAGTATAAGAAAAGAGAAATAAACTGATTATTAACTATAAGAGTTAACTGTAAAAGAAAAATGTTATCATACATATTTCATTTATTTTTCTACATCACATGTTTAATCTATTGCCAGCGTGGCTCAGTTGGTAAGACTGGTAATCAAGGCCGCACACATTAGAAGTGTGTGAGTTCGAATCTCACTGCTGACACCTGTCACTTCTTACTCATGAAAGCTCTCATGTAATAGAGACTGAGCTTAATTAGTAAGACTTGATGCAGGGTAGAACTCTCTACTGCAAGCCAAGTCACTAGTTAAGTGAGATTCTGTGAACACTCATCAGAGCTAGTATGAAATATCAATGTCTCACTATTCTACTATACACCTGTCAAGATTCTAACAATATAGAGTCAAGTCTAATATAGTAATTATACACTACTTAAGTAAGTTTCTAACTAAAGCTGTCATTGAAGCCTAGCTCTCTCTCAAATACAGAGAATGATTTTAAAAATCATCTGACTAGCAGGTCTAGATACTTATCTAGACTCTAGACAGAGTACTCTGATAGGCTAGAGTTTATAAGCTCACTGCTAGTCTCTAATACTGACAGAAAGAACTGCAGTTATCAAGTCTATGATTAGTCTCTAACATAAAGTGAGGTCATGATGACTGATTAATAGGTCTATGAGCATCTAATGAGACCGAGATCAGCAACTGAAAGCTTGGTGTGTACATCATCAAGTGAGCAGTGACAGCCACTAACTAACACCTCTGGAAATTAGTGGCTGGTAGACTGGCCGGCGGGACCATGAATTTCACATTTGGTCCCATTTGATCTGGTCTCATACATTTCTTGGCGTGAGTCCCACCAGGACCAAGCCTCAAAAAAATCTGAAAATGGACCATTTCTGAGAGAAATAGTGTGAAAAATGACCAGATTTAATTCAAGAACAGTGAAATGAGAGTAATTTTCCAGGATAAACTGTGAAAGATGATCATTCTTTCAAAATCAGAATAAGACTGAGACTGAAGATTAAAATCAGTCTCATTCAGTTCATTCAGTGATTGCTTATATAATCAGAATTTGGTAACAATTATTGATAACACTCATGAAACAACTAAATACATTCTTATGTAAGTTTATTCTTCACTTTCTCATGAAAACTACACTTCTCTGATATACTGTGATCAGAGATATTAAACTGTCTGATAATTCTATGTTTTATAATCATGAGTTTCTTGATTGTTTCTTCTTGTAATTGTCTCTGACAATAGTGATAAATATCTTGACTTGAGTTGAACTTTCACTCTATTCTCATCTCTGTCAATGAAATTGTCAGAATATCATGTATCATCAGTACAATAGTTGAATATATACTCTCAACAATTTTTCATAACTCTAGAATTGATTTGATGTGTAAATTTATCAGATCATCTTGAAGATAGCAGTCAAATTCAGTTTTACAAGTATGTAGTTTTGCCTGATTTTCAGTTATAATCAATGTATACAAGTTCTGTTTCAAAGTTAGTATTATAGTTCTATATGATATGAAGTGTTATCAAAGATTGTTACTTACTAGGGAATTGTATTTCACTGTCTTCACATCTTGAATATCTGCTTATTCAAATCTCTGATAGTTGATATTATAGTAGTCTCAGACTAATTTGATATATAAGTCTCATTTCTTCTCTGTTCAATCTTGAGAAGTGTAGATGTTAACTCAACAGAAGAGATCTAATAGAGCTGCTACAGCATAGTACTCTGTAAAAGATTGTTCTGTTTTACTGTAGTAATATGTCAGTTTATTTCTTACAGTAATAATAGCCTGTGCTATAGCATTATCTCAGACTGAATTTCTTTTTGAGTGATTCAACTGCTTCTCAAGATGAGTAAATAAACTGTTATACACTTATCAGACTGACTGCAGTATTGATGTATAAGTGATTGAGACTATCTTTGTTATCTTATAAAACTGAAACAGTAAATCAATCACATATTTCAACTGAGTTCACTTCATATCAGAAAGTTTCAATATCTGAATCTTTTCTCAATCAGAGTGTTGCACTCAATGATCAATCATCTGATACAATCAAAGAGCTCAAATAGTTATCTTATATATTAAACTTCACTGTGTTCTAACATTCTGTATCATATTCAGTGATGTGACTGATTTATTTATTTATTAAATATCATGAAATCATTGTTATTGTTTAGAAGAGATACAAATTACATTAGCAATGTTTTGAATCTATGATATTTAAATTATTAGTCAATCTATTCAAAATTAACAGTAGCATTATCAAAAAGTATTATCAAAAAGCAATATTAAAAAGTGTTATTAAAAAACATTATCTTTTGTAAAGTGAATGCAAAAGTTACTTGAGTAATCACTTTCATCTCATTCTTATCTCAAGAATCAGTCATCTCATTATTCTTCATCTCAATGTTAAGATTCTTTATCAGTGTTTGTATCACAAGTTAAATCATATGAGCAATGCAGAAGATATGACCTTGTTTATCATTTCAGAAATGCAAAGTCAATTTTTACTTCAAGCTCTTCATTATAGTGTAGTTATTCACAGCATTATCAGTTGTAATTGTAAGAAGACTGAGACTAATATCTCAATAGTCATTTTTAATCACAGTCATTAATATCTCTGTTATATAATTCTCAGTATGACTACTGATCAATAATTCAAATTCAATTAATGTCTCTCAATAAGTTCAGTTCTTATCAATGTAATAACATGTAACTCTTATAAATGCAAGATTGTTTGTACTAGTTTATTCATTCACTGTAAGAGACACTCTTCAATGATTCTTCAACTCTGATTCTAGATGTTATATATTGACTTTGTAGTATGTCTCAAGATTGGACTGAAGACAGAATTGATGTGAAATATAAAGATTTGAATTAAGCATTTGAAGAAGTGTTCAGAATTCAGAGTTTTCAATTGATTGAAGAGAAAGATTCAGAGATATATATATACAAAGTAATTATTCACAGAAGTTATCAGATAAGAGTTGTGAAATCAGAGTACTGATACAGAGTCATTTTCACATGATTTTCTTCAAATTAGAAAGTTAGTGTTATTAAAAATTGTTATCTGATAGAGTAACTTATCAGCTCAGTAGTAATTTTCTGATTATTTTTCTTTTATTATCTGCATTCTGATGACTTCAGATGTTGAGAAATTTCTTCAAAGCTATGATCAGTTCATGATGAATATTTCTGAATGAAGTTGTAGTAATTGCAGTAAAGAGATGACTCTTCAGTAATCTGCAATGCAATCTGTTAATAATCATTTCATAGTTCATCTTAATATTTATATTGAGTTTTTCATAAATTTCATGACCTGAAATCAGATGTGAAGAATGAAGTGATCATTTATCATGATTGAAAGAGAGCATTCTGTGTTGAATTGTAAATAATATAGACTTTGTGATTCACAGTGATTTCTTGAAGAGTTTGTAAATCTTCAATAGAAGTAAAAGAAGTGAAAGAAGTGAATTCAGAAGATATAATAATAATTTAAGAAAGATAATAATTTATTTTCAATAACTGATCACTGATGTGTGTAAGAAGAATTAATATAAGAGAAAATAATCTTATTTCTTAGCTTAGTTATAATTTTAGTACTAACTCAGATTGAATATTATTAATGTATAAAAGTAAATAAATAATCTTGATTAATCTCTGTTATATTTCTTGAAATATATTAATATTGTGAAAGAGAGTATTATCAAATTACATTATCAGATAATATCATTAAAAATATATTAATATTGTAAATATCAATGTTGAAAAAATGTTGATACTTATACATTATAGTGATTTGTGAATCATGATAGTTAAATATATATATATATATCATTTCTGACTTAATTACAACTTGTACAATAATTTTTGAAAACTCAAAATCAATTTTAATTATTAATAATTAAAAACTTAAACTTATAACTAACTAATATAAAAAGAAAAAAATCTACTTCTTCTCTTTCTTATTCTTTTTATCATTCTTTATAATTCACTTCTCATTCTTCTTCTTCTTCTTCTTCTTCTTCTTCTTCTTCTTCTCATCTGAGATGATAATCATCTCAAAATCTTCCTTCACTGCCTTCTTAGAGAAGGGTTTCTGCTGCTCTCTCTCAGCCAGGTCAACCTGTATCTCAAAATCCCACATTTTCTGATCTGCTGTCTCAGGTTCCACCTCAGCAGTAAGCAGATTGATATGCTCAGAGAGCAGAGCTGTCTTCTCAATGTTCTGAATCATGAAGCGCATTTGAGACCTGAACAAGGCCTCAATTCCCTTCTTCTCTATCAGCTTCTGCTAATCAATTAGAGAACAGAAGTGTTATCAAAAATCATTATCTCTTAATAAAAAATTTATCAGTTTTGACTTCTTTGTCTCTCACTTTAATATCTTCTCAATCTTCTTCTGCTGCTACTTATTTACAGTAACACTCTTCTTCTCTCTCTCTCTCTTCATCTTAGTCTTAAATCATTCTCAGAACTTCTTCTGGTTTCACTGCTGCTGTATAAGACTCTTCACTGTCTTCTTTTTCAATCTCTCACAGATGGTGTCATTCATATTATTCCTATACTTAGTTCAGTCTAAATCTATCAGAAGTATTACTTAAAATCATTATTATTCTACTCTCTTACAGAGCCTCTTCAAGGCATTATAACATGTCTTGTGATCTGTCTTCTCATGCTTGAACATCTTCTTCTTCTCTCTCTTCAATCTGTGATGATGCTCACACATCTTGGTGGTTCGCAGGACCGCAGAATATTTAAAGAGAGATGACATGATTGATTTTAATGAGCGTTGAAGAGGGGTGAAGACAGGCAATGATATAATAATAATGATGATGATGATAATGATGATGATAATGATGATAATAATGATGATAATAATGATGATAATGATGATGATGATGATGATGATAATGATGATGATAATGATGATGAAAGGAGAAGTGCATCAGAATATATTATTGACTTATCAAATATAAAGAGACAAAGAAACTATTAACAGCTTTCAGAGATGTACAGAAACAGCTACAGTGTTATATAGCAATATTATCTTCATTCAATGCATGCACTATTGATATTCTTTATATGCATTTATCATATAATCTATATCAGAAATACATGCAGAAAACAGATCTTTGTTGCTAGAAAGAATGATTACAGTGATTCTCTGTTTTCATATTATAAAGATAAGTTATTCTCATTTCTTTCTTCTCTCTTTTCTCTTCTTCTTCAACTCATCACTAAGTCCAAGCTAGTATAAAAACTATTAAAACACTTATAGAAATTCTCAAATTGAAGAGTATAAACTAATCAAATTTTAAATGCAGATGAATTAAATTAATTCAATAATACTAATTATTCATTTCTCTCTCAATAAAACAACAGTCACATCTTCCTCTCCCTCTCTCAAATAAAACATGACTTATGAAAAGTGAGTACCACACCAGGTTATAATGACTAACACAGCCTCAGTATGCAGGACTGTATACACACAGTGCATGCTGAACTGAGAGACTGTGTGAGTTACAAATCAACAGCAGCATTTCAGAGAGAGTCATGCAGTGTGAGAAAGCTGCAACTCTCAGTTACATGCACAGAGAATGAATCACTGCAGTAAGTACATGTGCATTGCATGAAAGTAATACTTTTTGATAACACTCAGTCTCTGATATCATGAAAATAGAGTCTCTCTGTGAGATCTGTTTTTATCAGAAGTTAGAGAATCTTATATTTCTCAAGATTATCTTCACATGCCTTGTCTGTGAAATTAATGAGAGGAATTATCAATTTCAGCATTTTACTCTTAATGTTATTCAAGTGACAGCAGAGTTCACCCTGATCACACTTTTTAAGTGTATATTTTCTAATTATTCACATTTATACAGATATATACTGATTATTTATTAGATAATATTAAGACAATGACTTATCACAGCTGTGTTATTCTCACTGTGAGAAATACACAGTTGATGATGAACATTGCAAAGACTCTGAGAAGTAAGTATTTTAAGAGTACTACAGCTCTGTAATCTTGATTTTTTTTGTTTTTATTTTTTATTTTTTTCTTTTTCTTTTATTTTTTTTTTAATGTGATTTTTTCTTATGTTTGTTTTGTTTTTTATTTTTTATTTTTTTTTGTATTTTATGTTTTTTTCATAATTAAAATTATATGAATTATAATCTGTGTTCAGAAAAGTAATAATATTTAATAATACTCTCTATTGAATTTTCAACAAATGAGCACTATGTTATGATATTATGTAAGTGAGAAGTGATTTCATAGTCTCATTTGATGTCATTCTCAATAATGAGATCAGAATGAAAATGTGACTAAGAATTCAAACATATTCTTTATTCAGAACTAGATTTTTATTTGAAAAGTGAATCTGAGATCTTTAATATTTGAAATAACATGATTTGAAATCAATATAATGAACACAAACCATGATCAGAAGTAATGCTTTTAGACAATGTGACAACTGTAAAGTTTGGTCCTGGTTCCAGACACGGTCACACGGTCAGTCTAGTGACTGGCTCGAGAGGACGGATGCGGTGGTCAGTTAATTATAGGGAGTTAAATATAATTAGCTTAAGATGCATTCTGCGGGTGGCTAGCGCCCGTAGCAAAACCCAAGTGGAAATCTTGTTCAATTAAATGTAAAAAGAAAATATTCTCATCTATAATACAGCTGAAACTAGGACATGGCTATTTCAAATCTTATATACAAAGATTTGATGATAGATTTGACTCAATAGAATGCTCATTCTGCAATACAAATGAGAATTCTGAGTATATTGTAATGCACTGTGTATTACACAATAGTCTCAGAGTCAGATTGAAAGAGAAGTATAATCTAAATTAATTAAATATGAGATTCTTATTCTCAACTGAGACAGGAATTAAATACTTAATAGACTTTCTATCAGAAACTCAAGCAGCTATAAGAAAATAACTAAATTCAGAATTATCTGAATATGAAGAGAAGGAAATCAATCAGATATAGTCTGTTAAAACAACTATACACTCTCTTTTAATAATTTGTTTTATTATAGTCTCTCTTTACTTTATCTTTTTCTTTATCTTTTTCTTTCAATTTCTTTCTATCTATCTATTTAATGTGTCTATCTTTGAGACTGTGTTCTTTTTCTCTTTTCCTTTGTCATGATATTGTCAAATGATTTCAAAGTATCAAAAGATGTTAAAACACTGTAATTTGTAAACAGTTTTTGTATTCTGAACTGGAATTTTCTGATTTTGCATATCTGAAATTGATGAATGTATAATAGTTAACTTTACAGACATAGGAAAAACTCTGAGAACTAAAAGTTCTCAGGTAGATATCATAGTCTCTGACTGCATACATCTATAATTGAAGAATAATAATAATAATAATAATAATAATAGTATACAACATTAATGTCATTTATCACAAGATTGACTCAAATATCAATATAGGAATGTGTATGCATATGCATAGAAAAATTGAAGAAGAGCATGAGACCCGCAGAACCAGGAGCCAGAACAGAGAGGACAGAGATGGAAGAAACAGAAGAAGAAGAAGGTGTAGAATCAGATGAATGATAGCAGAAGTCACATACAACCGCTCCACCACGAACTCGCTCGATTTTTCGAATAAGAACCCGCCGATAGATTCATCGAAAAGCCCTCGATCATATGAGCATTCTGACCCCATCGCCGACCGCATACCCTGTGTGGTGGTGGAGTTATCCAGCCAAACATGAACCAGACATTGTTCGAAACTCCTGTGTGGGATTATCCCCCGTTCTCCCCTACCACACCACAACTCCGGGCCAAAGTGACATACAAATTGTAAGATGAAAAGACCTAGCCATATACACCAATCTTCTTGATTTTGGAAGATCCTCAATATGTAGTTATGGAGATATCTGAGAAGCAATCTTCATGAAAACCCTGTCCATCTTTGATGTTTCAAAACATCAACACCAAGTCTCACCCTCATACTGCCCTTCTCAATCTGGCTCATCCCCAGCAGAAAAATACAAAAAGATACCTCAGTGATAATATCAAGCACATAATCAACAGTCACTTCTGAAGTGCAATCTCTGCAGTCTGTCTTCAGTGTATCTAGACATCAATACCAAGTCTCACCCTTGTATCACCTCTCTCAATCTGGCCCATCTCTGATAGAAAAGTACAAAAAGATACCTCAGTAACTGTACTCAATACATAATCAGCAGACACAACAACTATAAAATCAGTATATCTCAAGATCTGACTGAGCCTTTAATCCCTGCACAGTGAGATATATTAAATCTAGTTTTAATATCTCAATATTCAATAGATTCTGCAAGAGATTGAGAATAGCAATACTAGATTTCTATTGAATTTGAGAATTAACTCTATATTAATATAATCATTGATAAAGTCTTCTATTTTGAGATATAAATAACCAGTTTCTCTACATTCTGCTGACAATATTTACATTATTATATAGAAACAGACTTATATTCTCTATAATATCAAGACTTTGAAGAGAGAAAGTCTTGATAGAGAATATACAGTAGTGTATATCTTAGCAGTTTTTATCTCATTCTTCTGCAGCAGTTAATGTAAAAAAAAAAAAGATTTTAGAAATAATTTTTTACTTCTCTTGAAAAAGTAAGGTGTTTTTCTCTGGGTTTTATACAATATTTTTACAAAGAATTAAAAACAGAGTTATTTTCTATCATAATTTCATATTCTTTTAAATAAGAATTACTTTTTCAGTGACTGAAGAGCTTTCATTAATACTTAATTCTTTTTTACACTCTTTATTAACTGATTTGAGTTGTACACTTGTTGTGTGAGGAGAATTGAATAATTTAGAATAAAATTGAATAGTTTTAATCAATTTCTCTGTAAAAAATTGATTTATTTTTTGTCAGTTTTTCTCTTAAAAACTGTCATATTATATGATTTACTATTAATTGATATCATACTTTTTCTCACTGTATTTCAAGAAAGAGATTATAAAGATTTTATTAATTTATCTTAAAAATCAATTTTAGTTTATTAGATTCTCTTTAAAAATCTAACCTAGTTACTGAACTAGTGTGAAAAAAATCAGATATTTTATATATAAAAGTCTGTTATTCTTCTTTTGAAATAGTCTGATTAACTTTTCAATTGAAAACAGACTTAGAAACCTCTTAATTAAAACAGTCTGATCAACTTTTCAATTCAAAAGAGTTTAATAAATATCTCAATTGAATTAGTCTGATCAACTTTTCATTGAGTAAGAACAATAAGTTCAAAAGTACACTTAGTTGATGTGAAAAAAGATGCTTTCTCAAATACTATTTCTGAGATTGAAATTCTGAAGAGAAGAAAGAAAGAAGAAATAGAGAAACAACAAGTTCTTGAAATACAGAAACTTGAAAAAGTAAGTAAAATTCTTAAAAAGCAGTGTCTGAGTGAGATGAATGAAGAAGTTCTGTTAATTCTTCATACTCAGGCTAGACAACTACAGGAAGTGATCAAGTTTAAACTTGGAATTTCAAACACAGTTCAAAAAACTTTGAAAATTTCTAATACAATCACTGACTCTTCAGTTTACTCTTCTTTCTTTTCTACTTCTTCTTCTTCTTCTTCTTTAAATCAGAAGAAAATATATGCTCAAGCAGCTGAATCTGCTGTCTCTAAATCTGCTATCTCTAAATCTGCTATCTCAAAACCTGCTCAAAATTCTGAGAAAACTGAGAAGAATACTGCTCATACTTCTAGTGATAGAAGAGTGAAGAAAAAAATGTAAA